AATTCTTGTTTTTAAGCAAGCAGCAATGTTACAAGGAAAATTGTACTTCTGGTTTCCGACTTTCAGAAGATCACCGCTCTTACCATTACTTACTACACCATACCTTGATCATTCTGCAGTAGTTTATCTATCACTACTATGTAGAATGTTTTACCCTAAGACATGGTTTCTGAATATTATTTTAAAACTTGAAGCTCAGCGTGAGCAGAAGAAAAGCATCCAAACACTCTTTAGTTCAATATATGATTAACTGAACAATATGAAGGCACCGATGAACAAAGACAAAAAAAAAAAAAAAAACAAAAACAAAAAAAACACTGACTCATCCATAAATTCAACATTAACAGGTTCTCATCTCTATTATTTTTCTTAGGCATAAGTGTCTATGTATCTATTTGTCCTTCTTACAGGGTAAATACTATATGGAATTAATTTTTTAAATAATGTATCAGTTTTTTCATATTACATGAAGATTGAAAGATATAATTTCATGTCATAATATATGCCTAATCATAACCTACACCAATGCAAGGCAAGGAGTTATGACACCAAAAATCTTCACATGTACCAGAACATGTTCTAAGCTGTCTCTTTAAGTCTGTGCCATGTTGGATTTGGAAATCTATCCAAAACCACCTGAAGTATTTTCTGTATGAGAAGTTATACCTCGGAAACAGCAACCTAACGGCCGGCTAATGTTGCATCAGCCTCCTGTGGTGTCAGAAGCCAGAGCCTGCTGTTTGAGGTTGCCACCTTCACACGGTGCTCCCTCTGGGAGGGCTAACATCCAGACATAATCTCTCAGTTGACCTGCAGACCTACTGCAAAGGCCAAAACCTTGGACACAAACTGGTTAGATAAGACATTGATCCAGAGTTTCATGTCAATAAGCCTTTGAAAAGATTATACAATGTAGAAGCAAGAATCAAGACCGTTGTTTGTATCTTGACATTTAAGAGTAAAGTAAGGAAGAAAGGCACACCACATTTCCTGACCTACAGTCTCACATGAATGTAACTCTGTAATAATTGAGTACAACTGAGCTGAATTTCCTAAATAAGCAGCATCTGGTTGACTATTTGAGAAGTTTAGTTCCATTGAGTGCAATCCTTGGCACAACTCCCCCTAACTACTGTCCCATCCCCCCGGGCCACCCTGGATTCACTCTGAATCCACATCCGGCTGTGACACTGTCGACCTCAGACTCTGTCACTGTAGAGTTAGGAGTGAGAGATTAGGACATGTCTGGGTGAGCACTAACAGGCCAGCAGTGTTCAACTCATCCCATTCTCCTCCAGTTTTGATGAGCTGACATTTTCATCAACCCTACTCTCGGAAACAGCTCATTGCTTTGACATGCTGGTGAGTTCTCTAACCGGCAAGAAACTTTTAAATCCAGCCAAGCGGAGTGGTGAGGACTCGTGAGGCACAGATCGATGCCTCACGACTACTGTGACTACTGCCCATTTGTTGGCCAACTTGAAATCTTACTGACTCACCCTTGCCTTTGTGATGTTTTTGTTAGATGCTTTTAAAGCACAGCAGTAATATTTCCTGATGTAACATACTTCTGATCCAGCTTTTCTGGCCGCAACTGATTTTGATTCTCTCCATCAACGGAGGCAAATCTTATTGACCTGAAATGTTTTCTGGCTGTGTTTCATTTAGCACACTGACTCGCTTTGAGTATTGCCATGTCTGTGGTCTTGTTTTTTAAGCCACAAGTAATCCCAGTCACAGCTGAAGCCATCACAGGGCAGGGAGATTATTATAGACATGCACTCTAGATACCTTCCACTCTTTCATTGGTCACAAGGCTTTAGGCCAAATGTTGTAGACCTTTGTTGTCTTTTTCATAGTTTGAACTCACGTTTCGGTAAGTGAACATAAAGTAAGTTACTAGGTATATTTGCATCCAATTGCCATACAAATTTTAAGAGAACCTTTGAAATGTCACACATAAAGGAAAATTAGAATCGAACAGAATTGCATAGGAAGCTAATGGCCAGGATAACAGTTAAAGGAGTAACATCTAGGCATCCCTCACCCCAACGACGCTACCCACTCCCATCATGAAGAATATGTTTCTTGTATTTGATTCAGTCATGATTTATGTGTCACAACCTTTGGTAAGGGTTATAAAAATAAGAAACTGTTTTCTGTTGAATGAAGTTTCTTTGTCTTAAATCTGTGAGCTTAGATCATATTTTAGATGCATAAGAATTTTTATTCAAGAGATAAGCGTATGTAAAAAAAAAAAAAGAAAAAAAAAGATGAGAAATGCTAAATCATTGTGCAGACTACAAAACACGATCGGCTTTGTTTTTTAAGAACACTAGATTTAGATATTCACGGCCAGATCTAATAGATGTCTGTTGAGTGGGCTCCGTTCTGGCTTCACACTCATCAGCATTCAGTCCCATAATGTGGCAATAAAAGCTGAAAACACCAGGAATCTAGTGGTAATGCTGAACATTGTAAAAAAAAAACAGCCTGTGTAATGTGTTGGAGCCACGAAACACACCATGGATGCACTAAAGTGTAGGAATATACCCACATAAACACGGCCACTTCTCCATATTTCCGATTAACAAAACCAAATTGGTGGTTTCAGAGGGCTGGAAGTTTTATATAGTGTCATTTTGCCAAGTTGTGAATACAGGTATATATTTAAAAAAATCAGCCTCAGTGCAGAGTAAAAGATGGGAGAATATCCTTCTGAGTGTTGCACTGTGTTCCCAGGTAATATACAATCACATTTTTCAGCCTGCACCTTCAGCTCCTCTCATTGTGGTGGTGGTAATCACGGCTCCATCTCAGCTCAGTTTATTACACTATGATCTAACTCCCTTCTGCTGAATTAGGAAGGCGGATTCTAGTATGAGTTTTTCCCCCATTTTGTAAATTGAGTCGTGACTTTTTATCTTTATTTAACTCCAGTAATCTCACAGAAGTTTATCCAAGCTGTCATATGCTGTCCAGCAGCATATTAGTACATTTAAACTTGGCCAGTGCAGGAAGAGTCGCTGTTTTACATTCACTCAATCGGATGCCCCTTTCAGACATTGGGTAACATCTGATAGAATCTTCAAAGTGGTAACAAAATGATAACATTTTTGCATTTTGCTTCAGAAATCCACCAAATACCCACTGTGTAACAAGGGTGTCTGGTACAAACTGTACAGGGACTTCATCTGGTGAAGAGGTTAAGCAAGCTGAAACCATTTTGTAGATCAATTTTACCAGAGTTCTGACATTAAAATGGGCAACTTCTACAGTGTTAAACAGCACATACATTATGTACTGTATGGAACAAGAACAATAATCTATATATCAAGAACAGCTTTCAGAATGCCCATATTTGAGTCTCTTATTTTGAAGTTGTAAAGGAAGATGTTCACGAATTTTTCTTTCGTATTGACATAATAACCTGTTAAAGTTCTGTCAAGCTGGGCAACACTAATTGGTTACATTAGCATTGAAGAAGCTATCACACAAATTACAAATATTTTATATCAATCTATCTGCTACTTATCAGTAAAAAGTTATTAACAGATGAACAGCTAACTATTAGCTGCTAATGACTTTATGAGATCAGTATAAAGATACTGATCTTTAAGGTAAACTGGTAAACAGGGTTTATCAGTAAACTGATAAACTACTTTTAGTTTATCAGTAAGTAGTTTATACTGATATACTGATAAACTACTTTTATCAGTTTACTGGCAAACTGATAAAAGTGGTTTAATTTTATCAGTAGTAAACTAGAAATAGTTTTCACTATTTCTGTGTTTCTGTATTTTTGCATGAGCCCAGACTGAACTTCATTTGTAATTCACCATCCAACATACTAGACTGATCAAACCTGAACTGGAACATCTCAAGGGAATTCAGACTCTTCTGTTTGGTTCCACAGTACTGGAATGACTTGGCGGCACCAGAACTGGGTTACCCTGTCTTTCTTAAGGAAACTGTTAAAGACTTTTTAGGGAGCAACTCATACCCTAAATGGTAAATGGACTGAACTTATATAGCGCTTTTCCAGTCATTTTGACCACTCAAAGCGCTTTACACTAGAGTCACCTTCGCCCATTCACACACACATTCATACGCAGACCGGTAGGCAATTTGGGGTTCAGTGCCTTGCCCAGAGGCACATCGACATATGGCAGGAGAAAGCTGGAATCAAATCTACAACCTTCCGATTGCAAGACGACAACTCTGCCACACAACCACACCTACTTTCCTAGCCCCCTTCAAAACATATTTTTCTGCACTTCCATCCATGTCTGCATTTTATTTCTACACTGATCCTTATTCTAGTCTGCTTAGATATAAACTGCATAAATCCAAATTTTGGGGTGATTTTGGACTGGCCAAATGCATAAGCATGATCACATAAGCAAGAGCAGAATACATTGTTGTTTGACTAAATATTTTAACTTTTTTTTAATCTGTGAAGGTTTTTTTTCCCTATGTGTTGTTTTGCTGCGTTTCCTGTCTATTATTTTGTGTGACAGGATGCCGTCAGTTTTATCAGAAACACAATGTGCACTCCTGTGCGCGCGCGTGTGTGAGGGAGGAGAATCTCCTGCCCCCCCGCCCCTCTTCACCGTTCGAGCATGTGGCGAAAACCAGGCAGCGAAGCAGCGCAGCATCCCAGTCAGGCAGTCAGTCTGCTCGGCACCGCCACTCCTCCGCTGCTGCTTGGAATACTCAACCTGTTCTGCTTTCTTTGGGAAAGGGTCGCTCTTACTTTCTCGGCAAGGAAAGGTGCTGTCTCACGCGCAGCCGGACTTTTTCTTCCCGATGTGGAGTTTAAAATGCTGGAGTAGAGAAAGAAGCCGCGGTGGGGACCCGCTGTTCGCTAAGTGGTCGCGCGGCTCCCGGCGGTCGCTCGCGCTCACAGCGCGGCAGCAGTGCTGCTAGCTCGCGGAGAGGCTGAACAACTTGTCGGGTGTGAGGATGGTCCAGAACGTAATTCTGGTGTTCTTCCGCAGGCGACTGAGCCAGAGACCGGCTGTGGAGGAGCTGGAGAGCCGGAACATCTTAAAGCGTAAGTACCCCGGACTTGGACACATACCGTCACACCCAGGACAGAATAGTTCTGAAAACATGTTAAGAAATGTTTTCAGAAAGACGCTGAAATCTTTTATTATTTTTTACTATTTATTTAAAGGTTACTAAACTTTATACCATGACAATAATTTTCCACTTCCTCCTAGTGTGCTTTATAATTTATTTAGTGTTTTAACAATTGAGTTATTTCATTTTCCATAGACCATATAAATAAAAAAAAATAACTGGAGAACTTTGTTTTAATCTTATAATTTTAAATCAATTCCCTTTTGAAAAAAAGTATGACACAAATTCAAACAGAGTATTCCAGAATTTTTCCAATGTACACATACACCATCCAATATTTTCTCAACTTGGTTTTGAGCCTCATTTTTATCATCTAAACATTCAGAATACTTTTATTTGGGAGTGAAAAACAACATGTCTACCAAAGACAAAGAAAAAAAGGAACAAAGAAAATACTTTACAAACTGCAACTTCTGGACCTAAACTGCCACATTCACTTTTAAACCAGATTAAGGCAAAGCAATTTGGTGCTTTTTAATTTACTTGCATGTAGTATGGCTACCAATTAGTATGGATCTAGATTATTAGATTCTACAATAATTCTGGACATGTCATATTATTTGATCCAGGTTCTGCAGACTAACTTGTGAAGGAAAAACATATGAGCTTTTGGTAGCTGATATGTAGGAACGTATGGCATTGCGTTCCTGCTGTCGTCACTACAGAAACATTATGAAACGACCATGTGAGAGACCCACATTTTGTGCTGATCTGGGTCTCTTGGGTGTGTTGGGCACCTGTGAACCCTCAGCAGCTGTCCTCATCCTCCACTGCAGCAACATGCTCCCGCTCTGACAACAACTATGAAAAGGATGCATAACAGCAACAAAATCCACTAATATAATAAATACATTTTTTGTTAAAAAAAAAATGGTAAAGGATGAAAATGAAAGGAAGTTGACATTGAATGTAGTGGACCCGCTCTGGTTTCACTCTATAGCCTCTAAACGTCTTTCTGCTGAGAGAATGAAGAGCTGTCTTTGTTACAATAATGGGGTGTTTTAGGAAGTGTACATATTTCCTGTGGATGCTCCTCAGTCATTCACTTTAGTTTGTGATATTAATCTTTTGTTGTTTTGTTTCAACAGAGAGAAATGACCAGATTGAGCAGGAGGAGAGGAGGGAAATAAAGCAGCGGCTCAACAGAAAAGTAAGACAGATTAAAGCAAATGTACAAAGCATTAATGTTTATAGTTTTCTTTGACCTTTGCTAACCAATCGCCTTTCTGCTGCAGCTCAACCAGAGGCCAACCGTGGATGAGCTGCGGGACAGGAAGATTCTGATCCGTTTCAGCGACTATGTGGAAGTGGCCAAAGCTCAGGACTATGACAGACGTGCAGACAAGCCATGGACCAGACTGTCAGCTGCTGACAAGGTAGACATTAAACCCCCCACTTCTATTTTACCCAGACACAAAGGATCATATGTCTTTTACTAAAGATGTATGGGAAATGTCAATGACAGTTGTGAAGTGGCCAATTAAACCAACACCATTTCAAATAAAAAGGTTAATCCCATCAAATTCTACAGAAGTCTAATGTAAAATGCGTTAAGAGGAACATAAAATAGAAAATATATGTGGATTTTTTAAAAATATGTAAGACAACATTTTTTAACTGGGTAAAAACACTCTTATGTTTACCCCCATAATCTGCCTTAAGACACATTGTCCAACTCTATTTAAACCTCACTACCTGAGCTTCATGATGCTGTTGTTCTCCAGGCGGCAATCAGGAAGGAGCTGAACGAATTCAAGAGCAACGAGATGGAAGTTCATTCCTCTAGCAAGCATCTGACGAGGTAAGCACAAGTTGACTGGACTGAAGTGATCAATCAGATTAATCAATTGTTGAAATACTCAACTCATTTAGTAATCAATTAATCGGGAATTAGAGTATACAAAGTCAAAAAAGTCTATTTGCTAAAAGACCAACACTCTGAGTAGTAGTTAAGACAAAACTGTACCAGAAATATATACATTTTTGCTTTTTAGTTAAAAAAAATATTTTTTAAAAAATCTGTTCTACCCAAAACTCCTCAGGTGGCAGCTTTAGCTTCACCCGGTTCAAATTGTTTAGAAAATCTTCTGTTAATCCCTTTTTGCAATCAAATTATTAATCTTTTAATCCAAAACTAATCACCAGATCAGCTCTATGCTGTATTGCTGTTCAGTCAAGCAGAAATGGCTGAGCTCACTGCAAATACATTCTTGGCTGCAAATTATTCAGCATTTAAAGCAATGATGTCAAAAATGTAAGTAAAAAAAAAAAGACATTTGTTTTTCTTATTTGAAAAAGGAACTGAATAATTTGTTTATTTTCATCTTTTAATGCATTTCTAATATTCCATGAAAA